GATGCTTTTAGATTTATTACCTCATGGAAGCACCCTCCGGTCTGTGAGGTCAGTGTTCCTGCCCCCATTTTGCAGATGTAATACTGGATGGGTAGTGGTGGTTAAGGGAGCTTGATCCCACATGGCTGACTGTGGTTTGAATCCCACTCCTGGTGGCTTGAAAAACACACAAGGTACATGTGTGTGCACGTGCGCCCGAAACCCCAACAGGGCAGAGAAATAGAGGACAGCCGGTTGCCACGTGACCACGCCCCACTGGAGGGTGCTTTCTCCCTCCCTCCCTCTCTCTCTCTGTCTCTCTTTCTCTCTGATGGCTAAAAGGAAAAAAAAAAAAGGCATTCAGATTCTGAGAGGTGCGTCACACAGCAAGGACTGTGGAGAGCCAGGATTCGCACCCAGGCCCCATGGGTTGCAAGCCCCTCTTTGGTCCTCTTTTCCAGGAGCACGTGGTCTGCAGGGGTAGCTCTTCAAACAGGCCTGCACCTGGGGACAGCGGGCCATACAGAATTCAGCAACATGCAAGAGTGACAGGCCCGTGACTGGGGCCCAGAGAGGGCTGGGTTGGGAAATGCTCTTGAACTTGTGCCTGTGTGAGTTCTAGCATGGGAGGAAAAACAGGAATGGGGACGGAAGTGATGACATGGGAGCAGCCCTCCGTGACCTGAAATGAGACAGCTCTGGAGACCATGCAAGGCCCTGTCTTAATTAGCAGGTGCTACTGCTGAGGCATGTTTACCGATGTGGGTTTTCACAGTGTTTCCACATCAGCCACTCTGGCTCCTCTCGTTATTCCTGGCCGGGCCCCCATCCCTGCTAAAGACAGGATGCAGAGGTACATAGGCATGCCCGAAGCCTGGCTTTATGCTTTAACACTAACAACAGCAGGGATAATGATACGTGTAAATATTCATGAGAAAAAGTTATAAAAAGACAAACCAAAACCAGTGGGTATGACTAGAGGGCAAGCTAGGGATGATTTTCCTTTTTAAAAAAATTTGCTAGAGTGAGGCCAGCAGGTGCAGTGGTTAGGGCACTGGACTCCCACATGACTGACCACAGTTTGAGACCTGAACCTGGCAGCTTGCCGTCTCACTTTCCCTCTCTCTCTGTCTCTCCGGTATATGCATGTGCCCTGTAACAATTTTTTTAAAAATAATGATAATAATAAATAGAATGAAATAATCTTTTAAAAACAGAACTGTTTATTTAATTTTATTTGTTCATTCATTGATTTTAATTTGGCCAGAGAAAGACACAGAGAGAAGGAAAGCGAGAAAGCAAGGCACCAGGTCTGGGACTCGAACCATGGTCACTCATGTGAGAGTGTCCAGCACCTTAACCACCACACCACCTGCTGACCCTAAATAAATATTCTTTTTAAAAATTTTTCTAGAAGGTACATACACTCACCGGAAACATAAAGAGAAAAAAGGAAAGTGAGAAAGCACCCCCATGGGGAATGGTCACACCGCAGTCCCTTCTCCATCCTCCTCTGGAGATTGAGGGCATGTGTGCGCACACACACACGCACACTGTGTTTCTCAAGCTATCAGGTCCAGGACTCAAACCGAGCAGCTGACCATGTGGGATATAGCCACGTTAACCTCCACGCCATCAGCTGGCCCAAGCTTTTCTGCCTTTTTTTTTTTTTTTTTTTTTTAGGGTTTTTGCCATAGGGTGTATATGCTCGCCAGAAAGAAGACAGAGAAGACAGTGAGAGGGAAAGTGAGAAATCACCCTTGAGAGGATGGACAATCCACAATCCCTTCTCCTCCATTCTCCTCCTGGGATTTTGGGCACATATGCACATGCACCCAGCTTGATTTTCAAGTTACTGGGTCCAGGCCCTGAACCGTGGTCAGCCATGTGGGAGTCCAGTGCCTAACCACTAAGTCGTCTGCTGGCCCCACTTTTCTACTTTTAAGGATTTCTATGCCTACTATGCACACCTGGATAGTTCGGGAAAACCTCATATTGCAAGGTTTTCTTCTTACTCACATCTGCAAAGTCTATTTACCATGGCAGGTTAAGTATTCACATTCCAGGGCTTAGGAAGTAGACATCATTGGAGGCTATTACCTACAACTTCATTGCGGTTAACTTTTCGTTTTGCTCCTCAGCTGTATTTGTTTTGGTTTATTTATTTATTTATTGCCATAGGGCACATGCATTTACCAAAGAGGCAGAGAGATGGAAAGTGAGAAATCACCCCCTGCGGATGGCCATGCTACAATCCCTTCTCCTCCATTCTCCTCTTGGGATTTTGGGCACGCACACACGTCAGCATGATGGAATCCAGCACCTTAACCACCATGCCACCTACCAGCCCTCAGCTATATATATATTGTTTCACCAGATGCTGCTCCATTGCATATGGCTCCATGCACCTGCAAGAGCAGACACGCTTCCCTTGGCATCTAGGGAAACAAGGGGTCTGGAAGTCTCCCTGAGTGCAAGCCACAGGCTCCCAACACTCAGCTCATCCCTGACCTGGGAAGGCATTGCCTGAAAAAACCCAAGCAGGAGACCTGCCCTCGGTGGCCTCATCGGGCATGTGGCCAGGACCTCCCACGAGATGCCTCATCTGTAAGTCAAGTGATCTCACCAGAGCTTATCCTGACAGACCTGCTCCCAGGTGCAGAGGAGGCTAGAAATGGAGCTCTGTTCTAGAAACTTCCATTCAGAATCCCCGGGTAGCTCACACGTCTCTGATATCCTGACACTAGGATTACGTGTTGGGTCCTCATATGATTTTTCAAGGCCAGGAAGAAGAAAGGCGCCTCTGACTGGCTCCAGATTATTTCCTATCTCTCCACTTTGTTTTCTCACCTGTGAGATGGGGATGATAGGCTGGTTTGTCAGACAGCTAGCTGTTATTAGCTCTGGGTAAATGACAGCTGTCAGGGTTCTAATTGCCTTCAGACTGAGGACTTCTGCTCGGTGCCTCCTCCGTAAATGCTGGGTTGGCCTGACAGTGGTGTGGCAGTAAAGCGCCGTGCTCCCCGGTGATCCCGAGAAGGAGGGTTCCCAGTTCAAGTCGGGAGCCTCCCTTAGTATGGCAGGCGTGTATGTGCCCGTGGCCCAGGGCTGGCCAAGGCTAGGGGTGGGTCCTGGTGTCAGGGCTCTGTTGGAGGTCCTGACTCTCTCTCTCTCTCTCACTCTCTCTCTCTCTCTCACTCACTCTCTCTTTCTCTCTGATGAAATAAGCTTAAATAAATAGATTTAATGCTGGTTTTAGGACCAGCAGGTGGCACAGAGGTTAAGGCTGTGGATTGCACATGGCCAACCGTGTGGTCTGAATCCTGGACCCCACAGCTTGAAAATCACCCCAGACGCATGTGCGTGTGTGTGTGCCCAAATCCCAAAGAGATTGTAGGGTGAGGGATTGTGCCCTAGCCATCCCACCCCAGGGGTGAGTTCTCACTTTCCACCCACCCCTTTCCCCTCTAGC